AAGATATATTTATTATAGTATTAATAAAGCTGATTTACGAATCAGTGTTTTTCTATACAAATATAATTAGAATCACCGTTTTCATTTATAACAGATAAAAGAGAAAAGAAATCAGTTTTCTCCATTGACGTCAATTATCATTCGGATTTAGAATATTTATATAAATTAGTATTTGATAAATGATGCGCATGTTTAAATAGCAGAGTGCCTGGGCGGCTCTTCACAGATCGGGAGAAAACGTCTTTTAACGGATGCAGATGTTCGTCTAAACGAGGTGATATGGAAAACTAAGGAAAGAAGAAGCATAACAGAAAGGTATGTTTAAGTTTTTTTCATGCATGCTCCAGGGCATATAGTAATTGAATTCGAACCGTCCGTTTGTCCGCACTGCATGGATTAATATTAACTGTCAAGTTGGAACTTAAGTTCGTCTTGTACAAATGTCTTCATATTTTTCACACTTAATATATTATCTTGGCAAGTTCAGTAACTATGTTCTTTATTTTTCAAGTTATTTCCCTTTTTAACGCTTGAAAAATTAATAGGTTAGTCTTAAGCAGCAATTGGATATTTCTGAAGTTCTACCTGTACTAATAGCTTCATAATTTATACTCACTTATACAAAGTACATGATATTGCTAAGTTATATAACTGTGCTGTCCATTTTTCCAAGTTATTCGCCTTTTTATCAACCTGGTATAGTTAACCTATTTCGGCAAGTTCAAATAAAATAAATTTCTCTTAGTTACTTCATTTATTTAACGAATTCTTCCATTTTGGGTAGATAGATATCTTTTATGGTCCTCTAGCTTTGAGTTGGAGACCATTGGTGGTATCCATAAGGTGTCTGGTGTAAAAAACATAATTGAGCCGCGTCACGACAAAACCAACATAGTGCGTTTGCGACCAGCATGGATCCAGACAAGCCTGCGAATCCGCGCAGTCTGATCAGGATCCATGCTGTTCGCTTACCAACCCTATTACAAGTAGAGAAACTGATAGCGAACAGCATGGAGCCTGATCAGACTGCGCGGATGCGCAGGCTGGTCTGGATCCATGCTGGTCGCAAACCCACTATGTTGGTTTTGTCGTGACGTGGCTCATATTTTTGTTACATGTTTACTCAGAGTCTTTTTTTATAAGCTGACATTTTTCATGTTAAATAGGACATGCCACTTTATTAATCGGACTTTCTGGCTGGCATTTCATTTTAAACATTTTAATAGTAAAATCCTTCCATTTTCAAAGTAGGAAATTTTAATTGCACACAATTAACAGTTATAGAGTTAAATCAGTTTGCTTTTATTTAAAGATCCACACATCGGTAAAGTGTTCGTACGGAATTATGTCGGATAGTTTTTCTTCTCTTATCATAGGTTTGAATTTATTTATTTTGTAATAAATTCTTTGAAAACGACATGATACATTGTAAACAAAGGTGAAAAGAAAGACAAATAGCTGAAGCTTCAGGACCTGTCATTTTTTCCAGCTCAAATATATTCTTTTCATTTGTAGCAATGTGTCCAAAAATGTTTCTGATTCTGATTTTGGCGTATTTGACAAGTGGCTATACGTGTGTAGATGTAGATGTGATATCAATGCTACCAGATCTACTTCAAGAATATTGTCCTGGTAACAACGTGTGTAGTGACTATCCGCAGACACGGACAGACAGCGAACTAAAGGGATCTTGTTGCACAGGTAAGGGTTCAGAAAAATTTAAAATTGCATGCCTCCAGATGAACCAAAATGTTTAAAGGAAAATCAACTTTTAAAAAAAATGTAGTAAATTTTTTTTCTAGTAAAATATTCACAAAAAAAAATAATTTACATTTTATATGCAATTAATGACTGATTTTGCAGAATTTATCACTATATTATTTCTACTGCGTGACCTACGCAGTAAATAAGGCCTATTTTGCGTATTAATTCTTGCCTGTTTTTTTTTAAATTTTTTTTCTTAGATTTTAAGTGCCATTTGGAATATGTCACTTACTTTCACTCGTGGCTACCGCTTCTTATGAAATATTTATTTTCATACCACTCGGTGAAAATAAATCCTGTATTTATAGGGAAAAAAACGTGAATTTTCTGTTTATTACATGTATATATATTTCTTTCTTTTTGGACAACACTCTTTGAAAAAGTTTCCCTTAAATTTTGTATTAAGAGATCTATTAATTATTTTTCAGATAAAAAAAACGGGCGGCAGAAGACTTATTTTAATAAAGTTCTATTCTCTTCCACATTAGAAACAAAAGTATTCGAAATATACATGTACTTTAATTTCAGAATGCTCATGCGGGGAAAAATGTTCTGAAAGTGGTAATTGCTGTTTTCAGGACAAAGTTTCGGAACGCTTCGGTAATGATCCGTTTAATGCAGCAAGAACGTGTCTGTATCCAACAACATCACCACCTCGTGAATGGCAACGCCAACTTTATCAGTCTTACTACATGACGTCATCGATAAACAACGCTGATCAACGCTCTACAGAATTCATGACAAATACTTCGTGCGGAGATGAAAAAGTCGCACCATGGGGTAGCTTATATCCTGTCTACTCAGCAAGAAATAATAAAATCTATAAGAATGTAAAGTGTGCAAACGATGACGGTGTTTACGATGGCCACCATTGGGATGCCATTATGTCATGCAAATATTCATACAATGCAGATCTTAGCCAATTTGTTCAAGGTTTGGACACAATGTCCTTTAATGAAAGGTGTTTTATAGACTTCATTGTTCCAGAAATGTCGAATGAACGGTCATTACAGTGTTTTGAAGATGTTATTAAAACATGTCCGGAACAAAATGAATTTGAGATTCCTAAAGCGACTAATGTTTCAAAAGAAATCATTGTTACCTTATGTGAAAGTGGTTTACTATCGCCTTACCGTTCTCAAAAAAGGTATGCCAACGTATTTTGCTATATATGCAACGGAGAGGCCTTTACGAATAAGAACTTGTGCAATGGCGATGTAAAACACAACATTTTTAGCTTAGGAAATACAGTTAGCATGAAGTACGGTAGACTTTCTTTTGTTGGACTGATCGATCAAAGCTTTATTAACAATGGGAAATCAACAGACACAAGGGAGGCGGGGAGCATTAAACAGGCCTGTGACACTGTAAGTATAATCTTACTCCATGTTGTACTCATGTTAATTAAGCTTTGGTCTAATATACAGGATAAAGTCTAAATAATTTTTTAAAATGTATTCTAAAATATACTATTAAAGTTTCAGTTCAAATAAAGTTCACATGATTCTTTGAAACATGAATTATTTATAATAATTGAGCCGTGTCATGACAAAACCAACATAATGGGTTTGCGACCAGCATGGATCCAGACCAGCCTGCGCATCCGCGCAGTCTGATCAGGATCCATGATGTTCGCTTACAAACCCTATTACAAGTAGAGAACTGATAGCGAACAGCATGGATCCTGATCAGACTGCGCGGATGCGCAGGCTGGCCTGGATCCATGCTGGTCACAAACCCATTATGTTGGTTTTGTCATGACACGGCTCATTTATTATACTTTAAAGCAGCTTGCCTCGAGATTCATGCTATTTTCATGAAAATTTTGGAATTTGCATTTAAAAATAAAAGTTTGTGAAGTAAACAAAGAAAGTAATACATGTATACACATTGCAAACGCGGCACGTACAATCCACGTAAATCACCAAAAAGAGGTCAAAATATTCAATATAGTAGCCCTTACTTTTATAGAATATCAATTTGTTGTTGTTGTTTTTCCAGGCAAACACATGTAGACCTTTGTTTTGTTCGTCGGGTAAACTACGCGATCATGCCGGAAACTGCGTATATCCAAACAAGAAATGGTTTGTAAACTTGAATACTGTCAGCGTAAATCTCACTTTGAATAAGAACATAAATGTCTCTGATGTGTTTAACATACCATTCATGGAAGTGTTACTTATATTACCAAGACTGGACACGCCCTGGTCAGACAACTGGAAAATACATAGTATATTTTATGAAATAAATGACAGTCATAATGAACTCACGTCGAAATTGATAGTTACACTATATACGACCCTGAACATGGTACAGCCGAAGCGTTTCATACAAAATATACGGAACACAATAACGCAAGACTGGGTGTTACACCATGAAAATAACGTCACTGTTATGAAAGCTGAGTTTTCCTCAATATCCTTTACCAACACGATGCGGACAAGACAGATGGTAAGATCGTATTTCAAAGATGATTCAATGAATATCCCTACTAAAGAGTTCATGCTATTATATAAACTTCTTCCACGTCCTAGCATTAATACAATGATAACAAAGCTTTATCTATGCGAACAAGTGGAGCTTCAACAGTCTGAGTTTATATTAAGCCCAGACAGACTGGTTCTCTTCTATTTGCGGACACAGAGATATCTGTTTGATAGCCAGTTTGCGGTCGTCTCCAGTATCTCTGAAGCGGAAACTCGTGTCCGAATTTGCATCGAAGACTCCGGGATGAGTATCTCAAATTTCAGCACAAGCAGTTTTCATAACATGTATGATATCTGCTGTGTCATTGCGGCTCTTATTGTCTTTACCCACCATTTCATTTAGTTGCCAATGAAGGAGTCACTTCTAGTTTAAGCAAAGCTTATATACATATTTGAGCGTTGCCCGAGTAAATTAGTGAACCGTGTGTGTGAGGTAACTTCTATATCTGTTTCTGCTACTTATTCTTTTACTTCTGCTCTGCTCCAGTCTCCAATTTTGCTAATTCTATCGGAAATACTTCAGTTGCTGCTAGTGCTGCTAATACCACTACTACCACCACCACCACTACCAACACCACCACCACCACCACCACTACCACTACTACTACTTCTTCTACTACTTATAATCCTACTACTACTGCTGCTATGTCTTTGACTAAAACTGCTTCTTCTGGTACTGATACAACTATTACAACAATAATTAATTCTACTACAACTGCTTCTACCACTACTTTTACTTCTACTAAAACTATGACTATTACTACTGCTGCAACAACTGATACTACTTCTGCCGCTACCACTTCTCCTGCTGGTGCCTCTGCTGCTACTGCTACCACTGCTTCTGCTGGTGCCTCAGCTGCTACTGCTACCACTGCTTCTGCCGCTACCACTTCTCCTGCTGGTGCCTCTGCTGCTACTGCTACCACTGCTTCTGCTGGTGCCTCTGCTGCTACTGCTACCACTGCTTCTGCCGCTACCACTGCTCCTGCTGCTTCCTCTGATGCTACTGCTACCACTGCTCCTGCTGGTGCCTCTGCTGCTACTTCTACCACTGCTCCTGCTGGTGCCTATGCTGCTACTGCTACCACTGCTTCTGCTGGTGCCTATGCTGCTACTGCTACCACTGCTTCTGCCGCTACCACTGCTCCTGCTGGTGCCTCTGCTGCTACTGCTACCACTGCTCCTGCTGGTGCCTATGCTGCTACTTCTACCACTGCTTCTGCTGGTGCCTATGCTGCTACTGCTACCACTGCTTCTGCCGCTACCACTGCTCCTGCTGGTGCCTCTGCTGCTACTGCTACCACTGCTTCTGCTGGTGCCTCTGCTGCTACTGCTACCACTGCTTCTGCCGCTACCACTGCTCCTGCTGGTGCCTATGCTGCTACTGCTACCACTGCTTCTGCTGGTGCCTCTGCTGCTACTGCTACCACTGCTTCTGCTGGTGCCTCTGCTGCTACTGCTACCACTGCTTCTGCTGGTGCCTCTGCTGCTACTGCTACCACTGCTTCTGCCGCTACCACTGCTCCTGCTGGTGCCTCTGCTGCTACTGCTACCACTGCTTCTGCTGGTGCCTCTGCTGCTACTGCTACCACTGCTTCTGCCGCTACCACTGCTCCTGCTGGTGCCTATTCTGCTACTGCTACCACTGCTTCTGCTGGTGCCTCTGCTGCTACTGCTACCACTGCTTCTGCCGCTACCACTGCTCCTGCTGGTGCCTCTGCTGCTACTGCTACCACTGCTCCTGCTGGTGCCTCTGCTGCTACTGCTACCACTGCTTCTGCTGGTGCCTCTGCTGCTACTGCTACCACTGCTTCTGCCGCTACCACTGCTCCTGCTGGTGCCTCTGCTGCTACTGCTACCACTGCTTCTGCTGGTGCCTCTGCTGCTACTTCTACCACTGCTTCTACTGCTACCACTGCTTCTGCTGGTGCCTCTGCTGCTACTGCTACCACTGCTTCTGCTGGTGCCTCTGCTGCTACTGCTACCACTGCTTCTGCTGGTGCCTCTGCTGCTACTGCTACCACTGCTTCTGCTGGTGCCTCTGCTGCTACTGCTACCTCTGCTTCTGCTGGTTCCTCTGCTGCTACTGCTACCACTGCTTCTGCTGCTACCACTGCTCCTGCTGGTGCCTCTGCTGCTACTGCTACCACTGCTCCTGTTGGTGCCTCTGCTGCTACTGCTACCACTGCTTCTGCTGGTGCCTCTGCTGCTACTGCTACCACTGCTTCTGCTGCTACCACTGCTCCTGCTGGTGCCTCTGCTGCTGCTGCTACCACTGCTTCTGCTGGTGCCTCTGCTGCTACTGCTACCACTGCTTCTGCTGGTGCCTCTGCTGCTACTGCTACCACTGCTTCTGCCGCTACCACTGCTCCTGCTGGTGCCTATGCTGCTACTGCTACCACTACTACCATTCATCACCATTGTCCTGCTTCTTCTGCTGCTAATTCTTTTTGCTACTACTTCTGTTGATGCTTCTGTATCTGCTGCTGTTGCTACTGTTATTGTTCATTGTTGTTTATTGTTGTTGATGATGTTGTTGTTGTTGTTGTTGATAATGATGATGAAGATGATGATGGTGATGATGATATTACCACAGTTACTGTGCCTACTTTTTTGCGGCTGCTGCTCCCTTCTGCTACCACTCCAGCTTCTACCGCTGCTACAAAATAACACAACTACAACACGAACTATAATGATAGCGAAAACAACAGCAACAGACAATTGTTGTGATGACAATGAAGAAACCGCTGTTGCTCCAGACAACAACACTGATGACGGTGACGTGGAGTATCTTGACGTGTATACAGCGTACACTCTTTAAAAATTGTTAACATTAGACTTACAGTATTTAGAAAAGACAGAAAAATAAGGAAAAACAAATATACAATAAAATTTACATTAGTTATCTTGGTTGGTATAATATCATAATTTACAGGATTTAATATGCACACTATATTTAGAGAATATATAGCATATAAACATATCACATGGTTGTATGATATATGACACGATGTGACATTATATGATATGACAAGATATGTCATGATATGATAAAATATGATATGACAAGACATGATATGACAAGGTATGCTATGATATGATATAACATTATATGAAATGATATGCTGAGATATGATAAGATTTTATATGTTTTAATGAGATATGACATGACAAGACATGATAAGATATGATATATTTACTTTCATAATAAACTTCAATTGCATTGCGTTCTCGTATTGTGTGATTGTTGATATTGTTTGTATATGAACATGGTCATTTATGAAATATTATATCACAAACAATGATTTTATCGCTGAATAAAATCACTGTTTGGAGTTCGGATGCCGAGGCCGTAGCCCGAGTGATATAATGATGCGCATCCGAAAGACAAACAGTGATTTATCAAACGATAAAATCACCGATATAACAAAATCACATTCTAAAATAACAATCTGTAAGTATCCTAGTGCGTTCATAGGATTTTATGTAGAGATGCTACAACAACTAAACAGATTCAATATATTTTTTTTAAAGTTATGATACATTTAATTTTGAAAAAGAGAATATAACTAATAATCGAATAATTTGCGTAGAATTGGAGAAACATGTTTGAATTTTACATAGTATTAATACGGAGATTCTTTTTAAAAACATGTAGATTCATTTTCTAAAAGATCTTTGGGTAAAATACTTCTAGGATAATTGTAGAAAACAATTAAATCTAGCAAATTCTTCCTGAATATGTCTTATTTGAATAAATGAATATATTAACTATGTTTTGGGAAGAAGCAATCCTTTTACTCGTCAAGTTAAATGGTCTTTTTTATAAACTGACAGGTTTTTTAATGACACTATGTAATCATACTGTGATTACCTGTAGACTTTCAAACGTAACATATTTTCTCTGTGTGTATTCAAAAGATGTTTATTTTACATTTAAAAAGAGACAGTATAGTAATTATCAGTTGTTTTTCAAATATCAAATATGAGCATAATAAAGCCTTCTAAACATTCGAATCTTACAAGAGACTATGTTGTTTTTTTAATTTTTCATATGAAAATTCTATCCAGGAAGCTTACGAAAGGTCGTTGTTTTTCTTAGGTGCCCGCTCGACACGTATTTACCTGCAGAATCCTTGTGCCACAGCAGTAAAGCTTGAACATTCTGCGTGTCAGTTTAACTTGTAGGGACACTAAAATGGTTTATTAACTGACGGGGAACTGAATATATTTGTTTCAATATTTTTACGAGATATTTGTATCAAATGAAATAAATCTGGACTATCAACGTATGTGCAAATTTTCCAATCATTCGCTCAGTCTGTTTTTCCTGAAAAATGATTCTGAACTGTCCAAAAATTGCCCAAATTAAGTTTTTAAACGCTTTTGAATTAATTCGGGCTAAGAATCACAAAAAGGATTTAATATTTGAGAATATTTCTGATTTTCTCTTCTGTGCTCTTTTTATTTTTTTCACTTTAAGTGTTTCAGTTGATCTACGCTAGTTATACAAATTTTATGTTCCTGGTCATCTGGACCTTCATGGAGTCCCTTTTAAAGTTCCAACCAAGCCCTCATTAAAGACAATGATGTCGGAAACCGAAGATTCGCCGATAATTATATCATTATAGCATAAAAGATCACAGTGGTAAACGATATTTTATGAAGTAGCTGGATACTGTAAACCCGGTAATTTTTCGTGAGGTTTTAATTTTCGGTATTATTCGCGATTCTGTTGCGTCGCAAAACTTATGACACCGCGTACATTTTAAAACTACGTACATTATGCGAAATATATCCAACATCAAAAATGTCTGAATTGCGATCAAGTGTGTAAAGCCATTCTGATATTTTTTTAACTTTTGCTCAGTTACTGCGCATGTTATGCACATTCTAGTTAAATGAAACATAGAAAAAGGAAAAGAACCAAGTTTCTTGTATCCCTTAATTCGCTTTTTTTAGTCCTCGATAGTACATTGTCAGTTTTCCGAACAATTGGTTGCCGTTTACTGTACCATGATTTTAACAACACGATTGGTTTTTGCTACAAAGCGAATCGGCATGATGCTGAAGTTCCGATGGGTGGCAGTATATCATGTATGGGCGTGGCTTCGACATTACTCTCTTGCAAAGGAGATAAACATTTTCGTTTCATATCAACATCGTCACCATTTTTAGCACCGTTTGTTGCATTCATAGGACATACACCCTTTGTAATAGGCTTTTCAATGGCTGATGTTTGTATAATTCTATTTACATCATTATTATCATTATTGTTAGTTTTCACGAAATCATCTGACTGACCTTCATCGTGACCTTTCTCGACCGGAAGTTGTTGTTTTTCTGTAAGATCGCAGCTTGTGTCAAGCTTTTCTTGCAGTACAGTACAAATGTCCGCTTTCTCTGGGATATACCCAGAAGAATTCCTGTCTATTTTTTCTGGAATTCCTGAACTTGCATCGTCTCCTATTTGATTGTCTTTTCTAAAATATTTAAAAAAAAAACAACATTAATTGCATTTTAAGAAAAGTTCAGTGAACTTTAATTTTTACTTCCAAATGTAGAGCTAAATCATTATTTTAGATATTTAAATATGCTTTGAAGGTTGTCTTATCCTGTATTGTACACGGGTAATGATATACATTGCTTTCCAAAAACCACATTTAATTATATGGCTCTAGTTAATAAACAAGTTATGTGAAACTTCCCTTATAAAGGGTGAATAATTACATCAACATAAATTAGGAATTGATTCACGAAATGAATAGATATCTGAATGAAATTGATATATAAGAAATTGACTTAAAAATTCACCAAAATTTCATGAATTGTGATTTCTTAATTATTCTGAATTATAATTAAAATAAACACGGATGATTAATGACCGTAGTGTTGAGTATGTCAGTGCGTTGTCGTCTGCACAATACAGAATGCCGCGTGAGAGCCATGATTAGAAGTCTAAAATTTATTCAATTAGCAAACGTCGGATGAAAGAAATGGATAAATGGTATTCATGAATTAATTACCATATTTGCTAATAATTACACGAATTGGCACTGAGAAAGTTAGTTAACGTTTGTTTTGTACCCCAAGATTAGCCTGGAAAATCTTAAATATTCGTAAGTAAGTACATTTATTTGCTCATTTGGTAAGCTATATTTTTCAAAAGAAAAATATAAAAAATTCGCATTGTTAATACTCCATCTTGTTAACAATATTACATATTAAAGTTTGAACAAACTTGAAAATATGAGCAACAGGTTTAACTTGTCTTTTGTAGACGGTTGTGTACCGTACAGGTATAACGGGAACACACTTGTTCGTACCGGGGGGAAAATTTGAAGAAAAAAAAAACACATTTGCCAAGTGCAGGCCAAGACTATACTGCACTTGCATGCCGCCATTGTCTCAACATGGTCTGCACTGTTCGCTATTCAGTCGGTACTTATTTTCAAGTCCCCCCCCCAAACTGGTGAATGATCTTATCCGTGGTTATAATTATTGAGCATAGCGAGAATAAAAATGTAAATGACTTACTTCTTAAGAATTTTCATGGCAATAAATGCACAAACAACGAGAATTGTAATACCAACGGTACTTCCTACAACAGCCCCGGCTATCACACCATCTGAAATACACACAACATATCTTTATCATTTACGACTTACCTCCCTTTTTTGTTTGGCTTTTACAAACACGAAAAGTCAAATAAAATTCTTAAAACAGATCGTTTATGTACAAAGATTGAAAGTCACAAGAATAAAAAAACATAAAGTAATACAAGTACATGTAAAAAATTTAGTTCTCAAATAACGCTGGACAGTTGGTATACATCCGGCCATTGTCTGACTTAAAGGCCCATTAAGCCTCCAAAATGCTAATGTTTGGATTTGGCAAAAAAAAATCCAGAATCAATCCAAAAGGTAAGTCATACTCTACAGTATAGCTGAACCTTCTTTTGTGTTTTGGAAGTTAGTACAGTAAAAAGTAATTTGGTACTTTGTATGGATGTCAAAACAGCACTTTGCTTTCATTTTGCTTATATTATCACAAATGTTTCCAATTTGTGTCCAATTTTTTCAGATGATAAGCATCTCATATATTCTAAATCAATTATTTCAACATCATATAACACAAGCTGCACTTTCTGCAGAAAGGAAAAGTTATTCATTTCCTAGTCTTAGTGTGCCTTTAAACGCACAATTTCGTTAACGTAAACACAATCTAATAAAATGAAACGTACTGGGTGCATTCAAAGCTTTCGGTAGAGCTTTTATATTGTAAATTAACAAACAAATCATACCATCATTAGAGCTGCCGTTACTGCTTGAATGACCATCAGTATTTTCGTCTGACGTAGAAGATGACGTCATTGAAGCGGCTGTCGACGTCGGCGTTGTTGACTGAGTTGTAATACTAGAGGCACATGTTTCACAGCACGTGTTTATGTCTGTATAGGTCGGACACAGGAAAGAAAAGCAAACGGCTTTATCCCCATACAGACAATCTGTAACGTATCACCATGTACATGATATATATATACATCATAAACAATGATAATATGAGCCGTGTCACGACAAAACCAACATAATGGGTTTGCGACCAGCATGGATCCAGACCAGCCTGCGCATCCGCGCAGTCTGATCAGGATCCATGCTGTTCGCTATCAGTTTCTTTACTTGTTTAAAGGGTCTGTAAGCGAACATCATGGATCCTGATCAGATTGCGCGGATGCGCAGGCTGGTCTGGATCCATGCTGGTCGCAAACGCACTATGTTGGTTTTGTGTGACACGGCTAATATATAGCATATATACATGCATTGTCGATTTTAAATAAAGCCATATTTTACACTATACTTACTTCAACATATATTGAGGAAGGTTTTGCACAAGCAAGAGTTTAGAACTCTTGATTATCATGTTGAAAATCAGAACATCTTAATTATCGGGGTTTTTAAAAAGTGGATCTTTTACAATTGTTAAGCATGAGAAATCTAATTAGCTAAATAGAAAATTACACTTTCCTACAAATTCAATATATCATTTGAGTACCCTATGAAAAAAGATATTAAAATATGAGAATCTAAATGTAACACAATACGGCAAAACTGAAATTGATGCAGTCTGCTTTTCTGTTTTTGTTCATGGATTACTAACTGGCAATGGTTATAACGCAGACTACTCGTGGCGGCTATTTCGTTGACCCCTAGCACCAACTTTATCAGATTTAACATTTTAAAAGTAATTTCAATATGTAGGTCAATATTTACTTTGGTTATTTCTCGCGACAGCGTTGCATGACGCACAACATGAAGCCTCTATACTGTTATCATAGCATTCAGCATTGTCGTCTGCTATAAGTTCCGAACATGTCATACCATCTTTAACAATTCCGGCTGTATCCCCGTTTGGACATGTGACTGAAAATACAAAAAAGACAACGCTGTTGAACTGTTAACCAGAAACAAAACAAAACTTAATTAGCATCCATTTGAAATGGAGGGCAATATGATGACGTATTACTCAAGTAAACATTGTTCACAACAGATCTATCCGCATTGTTTTAATATATTATTGCAAACTCCGCGCACGGTCACGCTACAGCCACATCTATACATAGTTCACATCTATAACACCTTACGGTCTTGAAGTATTAGCAAAACCGTGTTAACTTGGTAACTAAACAAGATATATGTTGTATATATACATTTTGATTGTTGCAAACTACAGAAGTTCTAACATTTTCAACTTTATATTCATTGCCATTCAAACGTAATGTTTGAAATGGTGCTCTGAAAGAAACAAATGGATGTTCGTAAGATCTATTACATTGCTGGAATACAAGGTGATACTCAATCCGGTCAAATATACTTTCTTCCATGGTAACATAATAATCATAAACATACACGTAAAAAACTCATCATACGTAAAATATTGGTGCGTGCATGCGTGCGTGCGTGTGCGCGTGTGTATTCTATGCTAATGATGGTCTATCCGCCCTTTCAGGCACTGAGAGTACGGAAAAAAAAGCAAAACGGCATGTTGGCAATTGTTATGACCCTATATGTCTAACAATTACAAGTTTATTAACCCTCGTAATAAAGATGTGATATTAAAGGGCAAACAATTTTCATCCATTCAATATATTTACAAGTATTTTTACTAGCTAGATCTCATGCAACCTTACAATTTCTAATTACTTCAAGTCCGTTAAATTTGTCTGTTTCAATAACATGTATTTATTTAGATTTCTACTTTACAACCTGCACTTAAAGACACATTTGTCACTTTTGCTATAATGAAGAGAGTCAAAAGTAATTCCGCCCAAATCATGTTGTAGACCTACACGAAAATTGACAGATTCAAATACCGTACATATATCTGATATCAAATACTTAAAAAATATCCGAAAAACTATTTATAATGCACACATATAATTAACACTAATCTCTTTTTTGTGTCGATATCTTTGCATCGAGATTTCAGCGTTTTTGGTAAAAGAGCGCTTAAAAGTCGTATGGCGTATGACTCGCAATCATTTAGACGCTTGTCTTGCAAGTCGTACGTCATTAGATGACATCCGGTGGAACAAGGAAGTTTGTACATTTGTAATACAATGAAACCTTTAACTGCGATTTATTAATAAGGAAACAAGGAAGGATGTGAGTAAACTTAGACCACGAAACAATAATCAAACATGTCACTATTCTGATAGTGACTGGCCTGTATTGTTATCACGTGACTATTAATCGTTGTGCCTGTATAAATTTATTTTTCATTTTCAAAATTTGGATAAACAACATCTTTCCGATAATGAGCATTTAAGACTTGTAAAAATTGTAGCATTTGTAACATTATGATAATGGCGTGCAGGTCATACCTTTTCATACTTAAAGAGCAACTTTAAAAAATGACCTTAAGATGTTTGCGTTCAAGACTTATTTTGTTAAAGAAAATGTTTGTAATGTTTGTGTAGGTCAGACTGCATGGATATCTTCGCCTCTTAAATTTGACACAGGCAAATCATTATAATTTTTATAATACTTTAGGGGTTAATCATAAATGAAGCATACTTAGTTTCTTCCTTGAGTTTCCATAAGTACTCGTATTGGCTTATCTTTTATAATTAAATGTCAGAATATTTGAGCATAAAATATTAGCATTGTTCAATTGCTCTGGTGTAAAACTGTCTATACAACAATAACAAAAGTTATTCCCTCCACATGCTACGAAAAATAAATACATTCTCAGATTAAAAACGTCATAAAAGAAATGACTTTATTTGTAAACACTGTAGAGAATTTTCATATTATGTATACTGCTTTGAGCCTTCAGTGGTTTGATCAAACAAAGACTAAACAAATATTAAAAAAAGAAAAAACAGTTTTCAGCAGACGATTTTATTTACCCGCTTTTTTCATACTTGCCCTTCAATTTATTCATGAATGTACAAAGATTGTTTAACATGTCTATTACGAGTTTAATTAGAACAGAACAGAACATTTGTTTCTTTGATTTGTACATAGGGTCTCAACCCGGTACAGAATTAGACCCAACCCGTTGTAGTCTAGAAAGTAGTTCTTTAAAATTTTGAAGTGGCCCAATTTAAGTCATCTCTAGTTAGGTTGATCATAATTAAAGTGTATTTATTGCATGTGTGTAGTTTTTGTGTGTTATATGATGTGTTTAAAAGTTGTTTTTTGTGTATTCTCCAGGAACTCATTTGTTGGCGGAAGGATTAAAGATGTATCACCCACCAGCAGTCAGGAGTTTTCAAAGTGGTGAATTTAAACTGTGTTACAACAGAGTGAAGATTTCTGAAAAAAGTAGATGGCTAACCTATTATATTTTGGGCATCATTTGACTTAAATAGTGTTGATGTTTAAAGTTGAAGACAGTATATAATTCATCAAGAACAGTGGAATCCAGAATTAAGCCTCAAATGTGACTGATTTACTATAGAACAAAGAACACGAAAGTTCACCACGCCGTCACCATAGTACATCATCATATACATCATATAATTTCAAATTCATTTAGTATTTAGAATGCCTAAAGAATGGTATAACTTATGGTGTTTCGTTTCGTGTTTCCACCTTTTAATTTATACAAATTCATTTTATAAGTTTATTAAAACTATCTCAAATCTGTTCCTGGAACCAACCAGTACTAAGCAATGAATGTAAAAGTTTCTTGTTCAAGGAAACAACTGTTTGCCCCTGACGGGATTTGAACCCACGTGACCAGCAGTCTTTAGATTACTAGTTCAACGCGTCAACCGCTCGTCCACGCAGCCGCTCGTTTTCGCGTTTTCGTCCTCGTATTTTCGCGTTTTTATCTTCATCCCTTCGTGTGTTCGACTTTCCGCGTTTAAGATGTCTTCATTCATAGGCGATGGCCCTAACGGACACCGTTATATAGTATTTTGAAATGCGGTAAGATATTGAGTATCAAAAATATTAAATTACAGATACCGGGTATATTTTCATAGGTATCGGCACAAATGCTAATTTTTGTTTCCGAAAATTTTCACAGACTCCCAGGACAATTCCTCTATCATAACAAAGGGTATTACTAGTATATAACAAAAACAATAAATGTATTAATGCAATCTTTTACATTTGTTGAATGTGCAACATTCTTTTAGAACCGGTAATACAGGGAGTCTCGTGTTAGTGTTTCCAAATAAAGGCATACTTTTTTTGTTATTTTGCTTACAAATAACCCACTGAATTGAAGCTGATATAATAATGATAGTAAGTATAATAAAAAAAAAATAATTGTAATAATAATGATAATAATAATAATAATAATAATAATAATAATTCTAATGATAATAATAATGATAATAATAATAACGATAATAATAATAATAATGATGATAAAAATAATAATAATCATGATGATGATGATGAATTGAGGACATGTACGTGTTTTTTCTATACAGGCTTTATTTTCATCGAGTGGTATGAAAATGGCTACCGCCACTCATGAAATATGATAATTTTTATTCCACGATCTTATTCTTATATTTAGTATTCATCTATCATTCAAATGTAATTATTTCCTCTTTATAGCTTTATAAGTGACGGTATTTCTATAATGATCTAATTATGCGTGATAAAAAGACAGGTAAAGTGTTATTATTAATGTGTTTTTAACCATTTGGAAAATCTTGCGTAAATAATGGCTTAATGATACAATTTTAGTTTATTTCAGTCTTTCTTTATGAAAAAAATATTGAAGTTACTTTTGCATAATTAATACAACTGCACCGTCTGTGATATCACGCTTAAACGGCGAGTTAGAATTTATATAGATGATTTCTTAATGTAATATTTGATCAACTTTATCGCGTTCATTTGATTGCCGAAGAAATCCATATCTCATTTATAATACCCCCTGATATATATCTCACAAGAAGTTCTAAAAAAATATTACCAGAGAAAGTCGCAAACGTTAGACACATCCAGAGACTGAGAGGGTACCGCGTTAATCGTTTTCCAGTCAAATTTTTACTGACTTATACAAGTTTCTGTGTGTGATTTTGCTTACATGTATCAGATGATATTTACATACATGTAAGCAAAATCTTGATCTCACAATCCTCCTTTCTTGACACACATGGTAAAAACTTAATAAACTTATTCTTTATTTCTATGAGTAATTAATACCTTACAATAATATTTATTGTCTTTTATTGTCTTAAGAGTATTTCTTTATTAAATTCAATCGAAATTATTGTACCAGATGACGTCATTTTGACATTGTGATTGATGCATAGCAGGATTATACTTTAGTTGAGGTACTTTGGGAAATTTATAATTTCGACTCAGTTATTTTTAAAGCTAAATATGCCTCCACTTAGTCAAAACAAACTTGAGAAAATTATACTAAGCTGTGCGATAATTGAATGATTTTTCAGTACATTTGTACTTACAACAATATTTCCACTGCGTTACTAACGCAGTAAAGACTATTTATGCATATTTTGACCACATTTTGGTAATTTACGTGGTTTGTAAGTGCCATTGATAATATGTTAATTGCTTCCTTTTTGGTTACTTCACAATATTACACATTCACATACATTTTCAAAATTTTCATGAAAATTAGCATGAGGACAAGGATGTCAAAAGCACCTTTGAATCCCATGACTCATCCTTAGGTAAAGTACAAAATAAATTATTAGATTCTACTGTGGTAAAACGTCCTTGGTCAGTTGTCAAATAAGTATTTTAAATATTTAAGTATTCCAAAACAACACCCAAGGTTGCCCATAGCAGTTCATTCCCCTTCTGACTTTTTTTCGAACTCGTGACCTTTGAACGTCTTCGTTGTCTTAATTGTGTGACAAAGATTTTTCAACCAAATAAAAGTTGATCCACGTGTATTTTAGGGAGAAACGGAAACGAATACAATTAACGAAATTGAAAAATGATAGAATAGCGTTCAATGACTTGTGGACTTTTTCTCGATATCGGCAAAGAAATTTTAATAATCTTGTCTAAAGTGTGGATATATTGACAGGTCAGATGGCCGTATATAAAGATTATTTGCAATATATTCTCCCGTATATCCGTCAGCATCTTGTATGATGAATTTATATTTTTTTGACTGTTTTTAAAGAAGCGCGGGAAAAAAGGCGCGCGTAAAAACAAGTTCAACTATTACTCGAACGCTGCACATTAAAAAGTAATTCGATGTAACTTTTAACTTTTTTTAAGGGATAGCATTTGAATCGAGAAATATGCTATAAAGAACCAAAGGCAATGATAAATTTTATACACACGCGTAGTTAACCGTCTACGATGTGGAACTACATTTTTATTTTTGCGCGCTTCGGTTATTCACAGTATATACTGCACAATATACAAACAAAACTCGAGAAATTATCTGCATTATTATAAAGGGCCATATAAGTTATCAAATCACTATAACGAACGATTTACATTAAGAGTCATCCGTATTTACTTTTAAAAGATTGAACATTAAAATTTTCTTATTCTTCTTAACGACCATCTGTTTTTGCTTATATGAAGTACCTATATATGTATCACCTTTCTTTTATTTTGAATAAAGGAACATTTGTTTTTACAAATACATGGAGTAGCTATAGTTTTTTTTTTCCAAATCGACATATACATGTATTTATAACTATGTTTAAGTAACTCTCTCTGCTATCCGGATGGGCAATTGGCATAGAATATCTATAAAATAAAATTCCACTATAATTTACGCTTTTGGGAATCAAAGCAGCATACCTCCAGAAATATGCTCATTTTCAAGATAATTTTGAAAATGTATTTAAAAGTAAAATGTGAAGTGGGCAAGAAAGTGATTTACACATTGCAAATGGCGCTTACAATCCTTGTAAATTAGCAAAAAGAGGCCAAAATATGCAAAAAAAGGTCTTTACTGCGTTAGTCACGCATTAGAAATTAAATATGGTGATTAATACTGCCAATTCAGTCATTAATCTCACCTAACCTGTAAATTATTACTTGAATCATTTTCCTTCTCTTAAAATCTCAGTACATTTTTCTCAAGTTGATTTCCTTGAAATATGTTGGCTCATCTGGAGGCATCAAATTCAGCTTTAAAACATAATGACAACCCCGCAATTCCAACGGGTGATACGCTAAGCTATTAGAAGCAGGTCCATTGCTTTTCAATGTACTGTACTCATTGATTTGAACGCTAAATAACGCGGAGGAAATAGAAAATAACGCATCGATAAACATTTACCCAGTAACATAAGTCTTTATTTAGATTGGTGCACCTGCTTCACTATTCACCATAATATATAGAACACGCGACAGAACATGGTGATAGAAAGTTTATATTTTTCTAAGACGACCAATCCTTAAAGTCACACAAGGGTCTAACAGTAAATTTATTCTAAATGTATTTTTCCTTTTCATATGACAAAATTAATAAGAATAAGGTCTTGTAGTATAGTTATCACTAAAGCAGTATGATCCAACCTTTAATACTTTGTAATTTGTAACAGTTGTTGTTGTTGATGATGATGATGATGACGACGACGACAATGATCATGTTGTTTGTGATGATGACGATGATGACGACGATGATTATGATGATCATGTTCTTTGTGATGATGATGGTGATGATGACGACGACGACGACGATGATGATGATGTTGTTGTTAGTGATGATGATAATGATGACGACGACGACGATAATGATGATGATGATGACGACGATGATGGTGATGATGACGACGATGATGATGATGATCATGTTGTTAGTGATGATGATGATGATGACGACGATGATTATGATGATCATGTTGTTAGTGATGATGATGATGGTGATGATGATGATGGCGACGACGACGATGATGATGATGTTGTCAGTGATGATGATTATAATGACGACGACGAGGATGATGATGACGACGACGATGATGATGATGATCATGTTGTTTGTGGTGATGATGATGATGATGATGGTGATAATGATGATGATGACGACGACGACGATGATGATGATGATGTTGTTAGTGATGATGATAATGATGATGGTGATAATGATTGACGATGATGACGACGACGACGATGATGATGATGATATATTTGTTGTTGTTGTTGATGATGTGGATGATGATGACGACGATGATGATGATGATCATGTTGTTAGTGATGATGATGATGGTGATAATGATGATGATGACGACGACGACGATGATGATGATCATGTTGTTAGTGATGATGATGATGATGATGGTGATAATGATGATGATGACGACGACGACGATGATGATGATGATGTTGTTAGTGATGATGATAATGATGACGACGACGACGATGATAATGATGTTGATGATGATGATGTTGTTGTTGTTGTTAGTAATGATAATGATGACGACGACGATGATGATGACGATGATGTTTGCTTACACAAAAGAATAATTACAAAACAATACCAGAGTATCATGTATATACTTATTTTACTTAAATATTTTTTGAAATACTAAATGATTTAAATTAGCCTATCATATGCAAATAGCGTTTATACAAAAAGACCTAATTAGATACGGATAAATCATTCACATAAAAGGCATATTGATTGAAAAAAAATCAATCATTGCGGCAGATATACCTCAATTTCCACGTACACATCTATTAACTGTCATTTCAGTCATATTATGAAAAAAATCAGTTGACAATTTGAATTTAAGACTTCATCATGAACAAAATAGATAGATAAATAAATAAATAAATAAATAAATAAAAAATAAACAAAATAATAAAATAAAATGATAAAATAAATATTAACTGAAATAAAATAAATAAATAAACAAATAATGGGCACTCATTATAAGGTGTAAAATTATGTACATCAATTTACGCATTTTTTGCAAGCCTTTCTAAGAAAATTACAACTAAATGAAATTATTGAAATCTAGTTTCCGTGATTATTATTGTTGTGATACTTACGGGGGAGGAACTGTTACACGGCGGATTGAGTTCTTATGATAACTTGTCAGGAGTTCTTATGATAACTGTCACGGAGTTCCTGGATAACGTTACGGATTTCGTCGGAAATCTTTTGTATATTCCGAAGAAGCAATAGAAACACTCGTCAAAAATGGAAATGTTCATCAGAAAGAAAACATTTTATAGTCCATTTTTCATCGAATCCTGACATGTTATCATTAGAACTTCATCCGTCGTGCAACAGTTCCTCCCCCGTGATACTATAGGAAAGAAAAATTATAGAACTTACCTGCTGCTACTGTCAGTTTCAAATATATGCTTAGAACAACAAATAGAAGCATTGTATCTAATGCTAGATCACTTCTCAGGGGTTTTAAATAACTCCAAGCTATGTATTCATTAATTCACATAATCATTTAAAAATATTATATCACTCTGAAAAAATTACAGTCTTTTGCTTCTGTTGCCTATCTAAATGGCGTCAAACTCTTTTTTTATTTGTACAAATAATTACAAAAAAATGAAAATAAAATAATAGCTATTTGTCAAATATTTCTGTCTAGGTAAAACATTTTTATGTTTTACCTGTACATTCCATTTAAAATAAATACAAGCTTTTATTTTTTCCCATAATCTGCTCGGTTAGATTTCCGTTCATAAATTTTCCGAATTTCAGAAGAAAAAAACGCATCATTTGTTATTCATCTTATTTTTTTCTTTCTTATTTTCCAAATTTCAGAAGAAGAAAATCCTCATCATTTGTTTTTTTAATGTCTTTTCACCTTATTGGGTATTTCAACGTCATGTTATTCCACATAATTATCCGTTTATTTTTATTTCTTCTATTTTTTCTTAAATGACTTTATCACTGAATTTCATATAATTCACAAACTTGTATTTATCAGGTAAGTAAACTTGAATGAAGGGCTCCATTCTTAATGTAAACACTTATTTGAACTCTTATATTGGCAAAAAATCATTTCACATTAATTGCACCAAGTTTAAATTGTCCAATGGGAAGGTCAGATTTTAAATTAACGTCGTATAATAAATCATTCTATATTTATTTGTAAAATTTGCACTATTTTTTCACAATGAATAAAAATCATTCAATTTATGATGTGAATAGCCAAGTTATTTTGTTAGATTTAAAAATATGAAAATATGGCAGATCAGATTTTAAATTACAATGTAACTTTTGTATAAACCATTCTAATTATTCATAAAATTTGCATTATTTTTTCATGATAAATAAAAGTCATTCAATCACGATATGAATAGCCAAGTTATGTAATTTCTTGTAATTTAGAAATGATGTGAAAGTATATTCAACGATTCAAGTATTCGAATTGCTTGCGGGTCATGAAGAGCACAAGAATTTTGTTGTTTTTTTTTTTTTTCACAAAAATGCTCCACCTTCATTTGTTGTTTATTTCCTAAACCTTTTCAACCCGGAATTTGTCTAATAGACTTGTTCTCTTTTGAATTTGGAGCAGTCCATTATTGAATACAGGAACAGTCGAAATAAATTAAAGAGATCCCATTTATATTGCATGAACTTGCAAGACTGGCCAATCGTGCAGTGATCTCCCCTTATCAGTACAGAGACCATATAATCTGCCAAGGGAGGTAATCACTGTGCGGAGTTTGTCAATAAGACACGATAAAAGTTTACGTGAAGTCTTAAAATGCAAAGAAAATATTCCTGTCTAATGGTATACTAATTTATAGACTATCTTTCGTTGAAAGAAATGCATAACCTTGTTATTTCAACTTATATGAAATGAAATAACCCAATAATTCTATTATTTCGTTGAACGACATGCATAAATTTGTTCACTGAACTTTTTTAATGAAATGACCCGAGACTTTCGCTCAAATTGAATTGGATTATAAGATGGCCAAATATCATTATCAGATACTAGTTAAATCGTGTTGATTTTTTCTTTCACATTTCTATAACTGCAAATTGATTGGCATTTCTTTCAAAATCATGATGTCTTGTCATACCATGAACGCTTTCGCGGGCGCTTCTTAATTTCAATTTAATCAAAATGTTAAGATCTACTAGAAGCAGTTCTAGGGGGAAGACTGGTTAACGGAAGCTTGCACCATGAACAGTCCTAAACAAACAAAGACTCGGTGTTGGTTGAAGATTGAAAACCGCTTAACCCATTACTTCATATACACGACTTTTAACGCCTTTTTCATCCCCCCCCCTTTTGTTGTCTCAAATGGTGAAAAAATGCATTATTTAGGCCCTTAACACTTGTTTTTGTTTGAGAAATGTTGTTAAAAAAAGTGACCACTTTTTCGGCGCGGGCCCCCAACCAAAAGATACATCAGGGGGTTGCCAGAAGGGGGATGTGCCCCCTTCTGTTTGGGGGGTTTGAAGGGGGGCGGCGTCCCCCTCATCGCCAAGAAAATTTTGGACTTGTGAGAGGCTATAAATGACCCCAGATTGATCATAAGGTAACGTGTAACCAACGCTGAAAAGCATTTGACTCTATCTCAATCCATTGAGAAGTTGCAGCACTTTGAAATCAATTATGATGGAAAAAATCAACGCAAAATAGTGATTTTTGGCAATTTTGAGATGTCCCCTCGTTGCCATGGTAACAGAAAAAAAATTTAAGCCTGAGCATGTTGTTGCAAGGGCAATGGTCCAGTCAACATTTGTGCCAAGTTTGATTAGTGTTGAAGCAGTTTTTATAGTATTATAGCAATTTGAACTTGTAACGGGAGACTTTTCAATGAAAACAGCCATTTTTCACAAAATGCTCATGAAGTAATGGGTTAAACCGGTGCTAGGGGGCCGTTAGGGATGTTGCATTTTTCCATTATCATGCAAGACCGCAATTTTCATGTAATTTTGTTGTTTTAAATGGATCACCGTTATTCCAGATTTTTGCTTTTTGATAAAAAAAACTGGAAAGTTTTTGGGTTCCTTGTGATTCGAAACGTCCAAATCCACTTCTGTATTTCCGGTCTACAATTTTCAAGACAAGTACAAAATAGTTTAAATTTTTCCGAGCAAATTGCGTAAATTAAATCTGAGTGAGCAAGTTTAGTTAGTAACTTAATTAATTCAAATATGCCAGTGTATGTTGATATTAAAAAATACATAAATATATCTTAATGGCTACAGTCAAATGAAAGGTCAGCAAAAAAAAATCTTCAGGAAAAAATGTCAAAATATTTCAAACAAAAGTAGTAATCTCTTGCGTCTCAAAACACAAGTATGTCTTTGGCACTTCGGTTAAACCAGGGTTTTTCAAATAGAATTTTGAAAGACCCTGGTTAAACCCAGAATTTTAAAGACTCTTAACCTGTTAGTGTTTGCAAAGCTTTATACAATGTTTTTATTAAAAATAAAAGTGTACAGAGTTTTATACTAAACGATGTTTGAAATGTTTAACTTGATTTGTTTCGAGTGCTGGAAAACTCGAAGAAACACTCGAGATGAAAATCTTAAGTTGAAGTTTAATCTCTTTGCGAAAAAGTGTGTGTCAAAGCTAGTATAAAGTAATACTCTGATATAAAAAAAAGGTTGTTAAAATTTAATAAATAAATATTTGAGTTTCTCAATTGTGTTTAATATGTAACTTATTTTTTTCTTGGACATTTTTATTCCTTGATAAATGACTCTTGTTTCTGTCGATGGTCCATCAACATAATTTAGTAAACAATCGAAGTGTAGACTTTTCGTTTCGTCATTTATTATGGTTCTTATTCAAATTTGAATGAGGTCAGACTTTCTGCTTATATGTACGTATTAATTAAATAATATTTTGACAATGCACTTGTAAGAGTATATGTATATATTGAAGGAACCCCACTGAGGTCCAAAAGCTTTAGAGGCCCGTTATTCCCCAGAAATGCTTTTATTTTTCATTTTCTCTAAATCTCTTATTTTGATGTCATACTATATAGTTTTCAGGTTAATTTCCCCATCCATATTTTGCTTCCGTTGCTTTTTAGCAATTAGTACAGCTAGAGTGATTTAGTATTTTGAATGGGGGTCAAAACACTACTTTGTTTACATTTTGCTACTTTTATAACATAATTTCAGTTTCAGTGCTACTTTCTGCAGGTAATAAGTATCTAACATGCTAGATTTAAACAGTTAATTTTATGCTTTTCAGTGGATTTCTGAATTATCCGTGAAAATTAAATTTGATAATTTCACAGTGAAAATTATCAAAATATAATTTCCCACTTTTCAATGACGAAACTATTTTCTTAAGATTTTCTCCATGTGGTACCTCAATTTTATTTTTGCTGACAATTCTGACAATGTCAGGCTGTTCAGAGAAAAGCAAAGCTATAATTTATAAATAACTTAAATGTCAAAAGTAATAAAAAGAAGAAAACTCACTTCTATTCATTCAAATTACCAATCTCTTATTTTTTTTCATTTTTACAGTTTGAAAAAAAAATTCCTTCCACATGCAAAACTGCTCTTGATGACATTTGGGCATATTTAAGTATCCTACGAGCAATAATGCCGTATGCTTTATGAAAACTTGAAAAGCAATGACAGCCATCAGCCCGAAGAATAAGTAAACAACCCAGCGTTCGGTAGGCAGCCTGTCAACTTTCCAAGTTTTCCAATTTCCTAACCACTTTTTGAATGTTTACACTTCTGTCAACACTTATTTATTGTCTGTTACAATCCTCAAATAAGTGTTCTTTCTTTTAAAAAGGTGTATGACTCACAAATACAAATGATATCCCTCTGAATCAAACACAAATATTTTCCTTCCGTGAATTGCACAACTTTTAAAAATGGAGGCCGTTTACATTTAACTAGTAAGTAACAGAAATATGGATGGATGGTTGGACTTCTTATCCTTTTATAATTGCTTGTTTTTATTATTAAAACAAGCGATCATTCATATTTTTAATAAAATGAATAATATCATCACCATTTAACGGTGATTGTCGAACTTATTTTTCAGCCCAAGACTTCTTCTATTTTGTGAGAAAATCGACTAATACATGTACATAATAGAGGCTACCCGTGAGGAAAACAGATTTTAATATTATAGTTAATATCAAGGAAATTTCGTTTTACCTTGTTTTAAGCATAAAATAAAAAGAACATTTGTTTGTTTGTTGTGTAAGATGTAATTTATTTCATCTCGTGAACTTTAAAAACAGTATTCTCACTCTCGGATACGCCACTCGTGAGAATACTGTTCTTAAAGCCCACTCGATGATATAAAATTTCATCTTACACACAAACAAACAAATATCCTCTAGATAATACGTATACAGTGCAACCTTTTTACTCATAATTAACATCATCATACAATTTGTACAATTTAAATATACCATACAATAGTCACATGACATTTAATGTATATAATTATTGCTGTAGACCTTATTAACATACATAGTGTAACGTTAACAATGAAAATATAGATAGAGAATACAACATGAAATATATTCTGTTTACTTCCAACAGAGAGGATTAACCATTCATTATTACATATTATAAGACAGGGATGTTCTATTAGCCATAGCATCTCTGATATAGTAAGCCAAGTTACACATTATTTTTTTATTATTACAATTTAACAATTCAATAAATTTGAATATATTTGGTCTAACATACTCGTAGTAGTACCTCTTAATATATTTTTACGAATTTCAAAAAAAAACAGGTAGATACTGATATAAAATTGTATTCATCTTCGATATCACGAAGGTAACAATATATACTATATCGTTCATTTCTAGGAATTCTGTTAACACCTAAACGTCCGGTTTGTATCAGTAATGTATGTGAAGGCATACGTATTCTACTTATGCAAGCTCTAAGATTTCCTGGTATAAGATCTAAATATTGTTCATAACTAAACCCACTCTTTAAATTACTATACAA